CAGGAAAAGGCGTGAGCTTCTTGCCTGAATTGTAAATATCTTACCACTAAGTTTATTTGATTCTTCCACTTCTGAACATATTTTCAGTCCATCTGGGATTTAAAATGCATTCAGCATTGTCTATTTTTGTTGTTTAATCAGGAAAAATAAAAAGGGAGATTCATAAATTATACAGACTCACTTTCACAGTGAATAATCCTACTTGGGTTGTGAATGGATGAATTTTTTTTCTTCCTTATTGAAGTCTAGCTTATTCTAAGAGTCCATTTAACTTTGTTTTTTTGTGTCCTCCCTTTCAGCTTTCACTGTCCTTTCATATCCAGGTGTCCGATGACCTCTTATCTCCCTGCAGTCTACCACAGAATTTGGCATAATGTAATGAGACAAGTTGGAACCAAGCTTGATTTCAATTGCATTATAACTTCGCCCCGTGAGTTTTTAACTCCATTTGCTGTTACTAAGTTAGAACTGAAGTTTACAATTTTATTTGATTCAAATTCTTAGTGGATGCCTACCATGCAATGTATTTTTTTTTAATTAAAGAAGGTTGTGGTAGTATCTGTCTCAAAGAAGAAAAGGGAGAAGGTACAAAAATTATTAACCATCTGTTGTATATTGCAACTTGTATGCAGTATTTATGCACTACCTTTCATTGAGTCTACGCATAATCCCAATGATATAAATATTGAAATGCCTCACTTTGCAGATAAGAAAAAGTGAAATTCACAGTTACTAAGCAACTTGTCCAAGGACACCCAGCTGGTAATGGCAGAACAAGAGATTTTTCCTTCTCTAAGACGATATCATCACATTAGCATCATCTTGTATTTTAATGGTAAGAGAAATTTCATTTCATGAAAAGGAAACCTCACGCTGATACTGAGATGCCATGTTTAAGGTGAGGTTTACCCAAGCTGTGCTTTAGCTGGGGCTTCTCCGCCTTGGTACTCCTGACATTTGGGGTTAGACATTGTGTGTGGAGGAATCTTCCTGTGCATCTAGGGTATGCAGCAGCATCTCTGGTCTCTACCACTAGTTCATGAAAGAAAGTGCTTCACTCAGTGAGTTATGTTGGCCTTCATTTCTTTCCCATCCTATTCCCCCCCTCCTTGAACTGCACAATAGATTCTTGACTGCTACTCAGTAGAAATGTACTCATACTAAATACAGTTAGCAAGTGGAATAACCTCACTCTGCTGGTAGCCACAGCATGCCAGCTGGAGACCCTCCATAGGTGCTCCATCCAACATGTTGGCCAATTTTCTGAATGTTCCCAGCTTGTCTATCAGCATGTTTAATGGTCCATTACAGGGTCAGCTCCACTTTAAAGAGGTATGGAAATAAATGGAGATGACCCAAATAAGAACAAAGAAAGACTGGTTATTCTAACTTTGCTATTGTATAGAAACCAGTAGCAGCACTCGTGTTTGGCAGACTCAAAGGCAGGAAGAGAGATGGAAAAGCTTTATAGTGGAAAAAGAGAAGGCTTTGGGTGTGGCTTGACTGGAGGCAATTGGTACAAACCTGAAGGCACACTAAAGCAAGAAATCCCCTGATTGGTTGAGGGGCATATTAGGCAAACTCTGATTGGCCTTAAGTCGCAAGCAAGAACAAAAATTATGGGAACTGTCAGTTGCCAATCAAGTCTTGGCCACTTGGGGCTGGGATTATTTTGACATCCTCAACATTCGGGGCAGAGGTTGTGGTTTGGCTTTCCAAGTTGGTTGCCATAGATTGTGGGTCAAAGTTTCATTTTTACATATGTCTGACATTGTCAGTCTGTATATTCAATTTGCCTCAGAGAGGTATCTCAGGGCTTTGTGATTACTTCTGTCTTTTGTGAATTCACATGCCTCATGAGATTACTTTCTGTTGGAAGGAAATTTGATATGCTGGACATGAAACTGGAATCAGGAGGCTCAGGTTACTGTTAAGAATCCTCCATTGATTTGTGGAGTGACTTTGGACAAATGTCTTCACCTTCTGGTGAGCTGTAAAGTAGGGGTCTCATCTGTAACTAGGGGACATAATAATTACTTCAATTTCTCAAAGGGTCAGTACCAATCAGGGTCTCAGCAGACATTCTATGCCCAAACTAGGTAAATTAAGGAATGTTTGGTAAGTGCATAGTTACAAAGGAAGAAACAGGATTCAAGGCTAGTCCAGGACCTGAGAGGATAGCTATAGCAGGAGCCGTCACTGACCTTAGTCAGATACGGGGTAGGGTAGGAAACTTCCTGATAGAAGCTGTCCCTCAGTTCTCCTTCAATGCCACCCATTGGCCAAACCCAACTAGCAATTAGAGGCAGAGGAAGACAGTAAACCTGAATATGGTCCCACAGGTCAGCCCCCCAGGTCCCAGAGAGGATGAAGAATGGGAAGGGGGTTTGGAGGAGGGGGGGAGGAAGGGCCTATAACTAGCACTGAGGCCTATTTGTATCAAAATCATTTTAAACAGTTTGCTAATGCTCCACTTGATACAGCTTTCAAGGAACCGGCTGGTGGGCCAGCTGTGGTACACTGCTCCGTGTTTCTGGGCCCACGTGGGACAGGCTAGATTTTCGTCCTGAGGCCTCTGTCTACACGCAGGGCACACATATGCTCATGATCCAGGCTGACTGAGGCTGGGAATGGATCATGGCTTGGGTACCCCATTGGGGGTGCCTCCATCCCTCTCCTGAAAATAAAAAAAAATTTAAAAAACAGACAGATTAACAAGCAAACAATGCTTTCATTACCATTTTTTCAATCCTCAACCATTACACAGTAAGACAGGAAACATATGTTGTCCCATTTTACAGCTGAGGACACTAAAGTCAGAACAACAAAATGACCTGTCCCATGCCACACTGAGGTGGGGGCAGAACCAGCATGCAGTGGACTTGTAACTGTGTTACCACGACCTCGTGGAAGCAGAAGACTCCTCCAGGTTTCCCTCATAGGAACTCTCTGCATGTGCTGTGAAGACTGAAAACCCACAAGTGGCACGGGCAAGTCCATTAACCTATTTAGACTTTAGAGCTTCTCTGATAATCAGTGAGCCTATAGTACCTGGGCCTGTAATGTCACATGGAAGCCCAGCCGATGGAAAGCCAGACATTATCTCCTTTCAGACAGCCAGTGAGTCTCTCCTGCTGGATGCAAACCTGGGCTGGATGCTAAGACAAAGCCACCTCCTCCAACTGGGTGGATGAATGCCAGGGCTTACTCGGTCCCATGCTGATGTTTTGCCTTCTTGTTTGTCCTCCCCCAGGAAGTGGTTCTTCTTCATGTCATGATCCACAGTAGGTGTAAGACTTCAGAAGTTAAACTGCTCTCTGGAGGCAAACCACAGTGCAAGTGGTGGAGGTGACTCCTAGTCCTTCTCTGGGACGTCTGAACTTCCAGATGTTCGGCTGACTGGAAGCTGAGCTTGTGGTCATGGATAATGAAGTGGCCTTGGAGGAGCTTCCAAACTGCAGTCTTTCCACCTAGAAAATTAAGACTACACACAGCACCTGTGAGTCAGTGTTGTCAAAGTGGAAGGAGACAGAGTGTGATTATTAGCATATTATGAAGGAACTTCCAAAAAGTTTGTGGGAAAAAAATGGAATTAGTGCCCCCCCCAAAAAAATAAAAATAAAAATAAAAAAAATAAACCTTGAAATGCATGCATAGTTTCTTCATAACACACATCTTGCATGAACTTTTGAAGATTCTCCCATTTAATAAATGGGAGCTACAAGGCTGGCTGTCTCAGTTACAATCATCATTGTCATTATTATCACCATCACCATTTCAGTCACGTTTGGGACCATCTAGAAGCTAAGACTTTTTTAAAAGTCCCTCAGAGAATCAGAGATTAAAACACAACTCAGAAGTCATATCTCCTGAAGTTATTATTAGTGTGTTGTTGTCGTTATCTACTTATTTCCATCTTGACACTGCTAAATATTTAGTAGGACATCTTTGGGTAATCTAACCCGGCCCAAGTCAGGTCATAAAAGACAGATGTCCTTTTTTCACTGCTGAGCCACTGTGCTTGGTTAAAAGAGAATAATTGTGTCACTGCTCCTCTAAACTCAACACTGGAGCAGGAGCTGTATTAAAAGCAATAGTGAATATTTATTGTTTACATTGTAATAAGCACTTTGCATACATTACTTCATTTAACTATCACAGCAACCCAGGGAAGAAGGTATAATTTGCTATTCCCATTTTATAAATTAGAAAACTAGAGCTGAGGGAGATTGAATAACTTACTCAAGGTCATAAAGCTAGCAAGCATGCCTGGTGCCCAGAAGGCACTCAGAAATGCTGGTTATTTGCTGGTGGAGCAGGACCGAGGACTGAACCCAGGTATCTGAACTCCGAGTTCAACCACATTAGCCCTTTGCTATTCTGCCTCCTGCTTAGAGTGAAATCTCCCCAGGGAGACTTTATAGTGCCATCCTTCAAGTACTGGTAGGATTTTTATTAAAGCAGTTACTTCTTTGTGACCACAGAAGTCTTTCTTTGGGGTGCCCCTGGCCCTATCTTTGTCAGCACTGGTCAGAGATGGTCATTGATTCCTCAGGGATGAGTCCTTCATGGCAGCCCAGGCCATGTTGCTAATAGTCCAGGTGTTCTCAGAGCTTTATTGTCTCTCCTCCTTCCTTTTCACCTCCCTCACTGCACAATCTAATTGTCTGTTTCCCAAAACAAGCCTGTCTTTCTCAAAAGCACCATCAGAGACACTACCAATCAGCAAGAAACACAATAGCATTTTAAAATGGTGCAAAAGGCTTCAGGATACAAGGTGAGGCATAAATTCAAGGGCTGCCTCATTCCAGGTCAAGGGGAAGGTGCACATGTGTGTTCCTCCATTCCTCTCCTTTGGAATGTCTCCCTGTTTCTAAGCTGGCCAACTAACATCTGCATATTACCAGGTAAATAAAACTTTGAGGGGAGCAGAGCTACCCAATTAAGGGCTCCAGGTGAAAAGCAAGCGATAAAACGCTCCATTTCAGCA